GGACCACAATCATAGTGTTTTAAACTTCTCTTTTGTTGTTAAGATTACAGTTGGATGTCTGTTGCTAAGGTAATAAATTTCCTAAAATGTCCAGTTTGGGAAAAAAAGGAACATGCTCTTGCTATGTGCAATTCCCATAGTCTGAGATTTTCCGATAGTGAAGTATACGCAGTTAATTCAAATTTTATTTTTGTCTTTTTGGGAAATCTATAAGGGCCATAAGTGTAGGTTCGAGGAGCACTTACGGTCTGAAGTTCTTAGACTGAGAAACGTTGTTCTAAAATATAGTCATCTGACAGTTTTGTCTGTATAATATATACCTTTTTTGCGTATTGCAAAATAAATTTGAAACCAAAGCACAAGTATATAATTATTTTTTATTACACTCAACTAAACAGTCAAATACATCATATCAGTGAATGAAAATGTACATATTCATTTGATTAACTTAGCAAAATGTTAATTAATTTGCTAAGTTGCTAAGTTAGCAAAGTCTCTCGTAATTTTATAATATTAAGAAGATAAAAATAAAATTTTAGTTCTGTAGTTTTGTAAAATAGTGCTATCTAATATAAAGAAGAAAAGAACAGCAATCCTATGCATAATCTGTAAGTATTAAGAAAGAAAGCAAAAGCAGGTATCAAGGCGATTTCAAAATACTTAAATCAATTTAAGCTGCATTAAGCATTATAAAAACAATATAAATTGTTTTTATCGCAGTTATTATCAAGCATAAATTCTGAAAATCATTTCAGTGTTTTGATGCGTGAACTATTAATAAAATGTAACCTATAGAAAATATATCCATCGTCAGTCAATGTTCTGCTTATAATGACCAGTTATTACTTTCACTTTATTACTGTAATGAGTTTTCCTTCAGATAGACAAGGTTCCGAATATTTTCTTAAAAGAAAAAGACCAAAGGGCATCTCTACATTTCAAGGAACAGGTCCATTTTGTCCACTCTTTAAGTTTGAAAAATGAATTCTTAAAGCGCTTTGTGCAATTGTTGAAAACCAGATAATAAGTTATCTATGTGAACAATGCTTCTGTCACTTCCTTCCCTGTCTCTAATAGGGGACATGCAAGACATGTTGAGATAAATGTTACCATTAAATGTGACAAAAAATCTTTCTGTCATTTTATGGATACGCTATGTTTATTCATCCATTTTAATTAATTCTGAATAAATTTTAACACTGCCTTAAATTGTGATTGGAAAGTTATGTGAAAACTGGTTTATTTAAGTTATTTTTAAGCTATTGAAAATTACACATTATTTTCTAACTGTACTTAATTATTACATTTCTTAAAAAATATATAAATTCCTACGAAAATGTTATTTTTCTATTTAAATACAAAACCAAACCGCGTACTTACTACATTTTATATGAATCTAAGCTTTGAAAGTTGTGTATGTAAATAAGTAAAATGAAAGGAAAATCAAAACATTATGTGGAATAATTTAGCTTCGATTAAAACTAAAGATATAATAAAGCTTTTACAAACCTTTTATTTTCACTAATAGTAAGATTTCATGCATATTTAATTAAAAACACATTTCTCCTATTTTCAAAATAGTCAAAAATTCAGTAAACTTTTATTTATTTGATATAATTTAGGACTCTAATTATATCTGAATGAAGCAAATTTAAATTCAGTTTTATTTACGTTCTTGATATTTGTAATTTATCTGTAAACATTCGGTTTTCCTTTTCAAATCATAAATTTTATTACAAGTTACATTATATAAACATGTTAAATATAATAAATACGTTATGATATTACAAATTTTATTTACAGTTTACATTCCGAAAAACTCTTTCTAACGAAATTGCAAATTCTATGCGGAAAAAAAATAATAAAACAGAGAGGAAAAAGAAAATTAACATTATTTAACAATTGTTATTAACATTAACAATTATTTTGTTAAATTAATTGCATCTTATTTATTAAACTTAAAGTTTATATTTCGTAAAGGTAAAAGAAAATAAATTTTCGAATGTTTAATGAATTTCAGCAGTCAGATTTAAATATGAACACTTTCTTAATTTTCTTCACAAATAACATATTAATTTGATAGAGAAAATGAAGGCATGTTTGTGTAAATTATAATAAATCTCTGGATCTATTACAGAAATTTGTTAAGACATGTCTTACTTTAATACGTTCCCTTTTGCTTAATGTATACTTAATGTTATTTAATCTTAACCACTTTGCTTAATGTTTAAATATTAGTTAAAGTATCCTCCCCACCGGGATAGTGGATAGCGATGCAGACTGCCGTATCGAAAGGCCCGGGTTCGAATCCCGGAGAAAGCATGGATGTTTGTAATGTATAATGTCTGTGCGGCAAGAGGGCACTCTAAATATGCGACGAGCCAAAAATCTCCTCGAGAGGATGGTTGTAGAGAAAGAGGGATGGGAGATCCTCGGCCCCGTCTTCCCCCGGGGTGCACTCCATTAAAATTGGGAACGGAACTGAGCAAAGTCGTACTGTTACCTGTATGGCGATCAAGGTTTTTGCCAACAACAGGCGATATCTTCCACTACTTGTCGCAATGAATTTCATGGTCTTATTCTGATGTTACTGTCAGACAAGTGAGTTACAACATATTAGTTATAAATTGTTAATTGTGGAATTATTAATTTTGTTAATTATTAATTATTGTGGAAATTATTAATTGTGGAAATATATATAAACATTTAATACTTTTGGGAAATAAATAAACATTTTATGATTTCTCAGCTCAATATAGAATTCAATTTCAGAAATATTTTATTAATATTCATGTTTCATTATGTGTTTGATTCAAGATTAGAAACATTTTCTAACGTCATAATTCACAAATGTCAGGGTACAATATTACACAGGTGAAGAGGTATGTATATAAGAAGTTTTTAATTCAAATTTAATTTCAAAATTTCGTTGTTTTGAAAAACAGTCGAACCTCGCAATAACGAACTTCAAGGGCCGAAAATTCCTTTCGTTTTAAACAGTTCTTCGCTCTATTCGTTCTGATAAGTACGAAGTAGATATTCTCACAAAAAAGAGAAAAAATGATGAATAATACAGAAAAAAGTGATTAGCATTGTCACATCTCTCAAAAAATGTTAATAGGAACATTAATTTAGAAAATATATTAAAAGTTACTTGCCGTTATTATTTGCATGCAATAAATAATTTTAATTTATGCTGTTTATCAGTTTCATCATGCATTAATAATTTTACACAAAAATTTACTTGGTGTAAAAGTCATGGTTCAAACCCGTCCTCTAGTTACACATTTAAACATAAAATACGATTTACAATCCTGCATAAATATCAGCCTTGAATGGAGTGCTGTCTGACAGCTCGAGCATAGAATGGAATCAGAGGTTATGAGGTATTTCTCCCGCCTTCTTAGCGTGCCTTCGTAGTGTAGTGGCCTGCACGCTGGGCACGTATTCCAGAGGTCCGCGGTTCGATTCCCGTCGATGGCGTTGCTCGTCTTTCCTGCTTTCGATTAACCTAATGTCTCTAGGAGGTATCTATACACTTCTGGCCTCATGAGGTTCCTGGGAGTTGCTGCCACTAGATAGGGGAGGGCGCGGGACATATGCCTGTTTACCTCTGTTAAACATCAGGCGTCCCCGTCCTCCGTCACCTGTCACCTGTCACCTGTCTGATTTTTATACGTTTGCAAGTTCGTTCTAGACGTATAAAATAGCATTAAGTCTATAAGAAACTGGACGAGATCTAATTGCTCATTCGTTATATCCAGGGTTTCTTTACACTCCGGGTTCTTTGAATGCATATGTATATACCCATATAGTACACCTTATATATATATATATATATAAGAAATTTTTTTAATTCAAATTTCAAAATGTCGTTTCATTCCTCGAGGAGTAAAGATCGTCCTTATATTAAAAATACTTAAAATACTAAATTATTTTTAGCATAAAAAGTCTTCTCCAACCTTTTCTTATGCACCATAATTCTGGAAAGATTTTGCGCCATGCGTTATTTTGATTACATAAAATGTTTTATATGCTGTTCGATCTCTTAACTTTAGCCCATTGGCTTTTCTTTCATTTTCTTTAGCGACTGCTCACTCTTATTCAATTCTTTTTATATTAACGATGATGTGGAGGTAATTTCATTAATCTACAAAGGTACTTCGTAACAAAACGCCTTGAACCTTGGTCCAAGTAAGCAACCATCTTGGCTATTGTTTACTGACGTCTTGTAATTGTTAAACATGCAGAAAGCAAAGGCTTATGGGCCTATTCTCAGAAATCAGTGTGCAAGCACGCAATTTAGAGAAAACATTGGACCTCATCAAATTAAACGTAAGTATATCAGTACATCAGTATCATCCACACTGCGCAGGAAAAATATTATTTGACTAACTGAACTCTATTGTCTTTGTCACTGCCTGTATTGAAAGTCTTAGTGGCAACTGCATCCATTGAGAATTGAGTGATAAAATTGTTGAAACTGTGTGCAAGCGTCCGAAAAGCTAAATTTTCTTCACTAATAATCGCCCGTTGTTTTTTACCATCAGTATTCAAAAATCAGAAAAATGTCCCCTAATTCTTTCGTACTGCCTTTCAAGTAGGCAAGTTCCATCTTAGATACTGTTGCTGATGTCATTGTACCCAGCATGCCAGTGCACCTGCTCTCTCAGAGATATGGAGGGTTTAACACATGTGTAGTATAAACACCTTTACGCGTAGTGTATATTTCCACATTAAGATTGCTTTTCGATTTTCCTCGCATTTAAAAATTAGGAAGAATTTTTTTAATTTAAAGGCATTAGAGGTCTCTTTGTAAGATACTGTTTTCGTTTTCAAAATAAATTTTATACAACATATATTATACAACATATTTTATATAACACTGTAGTCTTTAGAGATATTAAATAATGTTTCGAAATATAAACTTTTAAAAAGTGAGCGATGTGTGTTTGAAATTTTCCAACAAATTAAATTGATTTGATAGAACAGGTATTTTAAATTTCACGTGCATTTTTAATCATTCAAATTTATGATTTTATTTTATTAAAATGAAAATAAATACAGTATTACACAAAATGTTATACAGACCTTATATAATATTTCACAATCAACATATAAGTCAGTGTATAATACAACTTTTATCTTCAACACTGACGCAAAACTCTATTTTAATTCTTATTGCTTTTTTTTACATCAAATAATATTTTAAATAACAATATATGGTGAAATATATTTACATAAATTTATTAAAATGGGAGCATTATTATACACTTGAAGCTGTATTTTTTTAATATGATATTGAACAAGTAATTTCTTCAAAAAATGAAAAATTCCAAAAGTAAACGGAATTAGCAAATGTTCGACTGTCATAATCCGTTAATATATTTCGAAGACGCGTTCCACACTTCATAAGAAAAACTCGAAAATAAATCCAAGGCACAAAAATGTCCATATCACATATTTTCAATAAATACTTTTCTTCAAAATCTCTCTGCATTTCTGCAATTCAGTCCACTTGTCACGAAAGCCTGTTAATCAATAAGAAAGTATTCTATGAATATTAAATTTCATTTTAAATCTTTTTCATTTTAAAAAACGTGGCAGTAATAAAAGTTGATAGAAGGACTTTTAAATTAAAGTGTAAAATGAAACTTTAAGCATTAAGAGTTAGCGATGAAATTTGAGCTGAACATTATTTTTAAAGCTCAATATTTTTAAGTGTTTAATACCTATGAGAACTCGAACTTAAAATAGGACACAGAAATTTCATAAAAATGGAATGTCCTTTTTTAATGATGTTAGTATAAAATCGTTAGGAGATTTTCATGTAATATTTTACGAAGATGATCTATTAAAAGAATACATAAATTTAGGATGATTTATTTTATTTTAAAGGTGTATGTTGCCTAGCAATGAATTATTAATACTACAATTCAATGACACATGTAATGTTACGGCGTTAGAATTATCTTTTCTTTATGACATTATTGGTGTAAATATTTATAAAAATATTTCATTTTCATGCATCTAAAATATAATAATCATTGTCTGCATGTGTGTGATTTCCCTATAAATTCTAATACTTCCAACCATTTCAGATGAACATAATTTAAATTATAAAAAATAAAACACTATTTGGGCCTCATTGTGCTAAGTGTTTTTAGAGCAGTGTTATCTTGCAAGCTGACCTGAGGGAAGGTCAAATTTCTAATGGCAAAATGGAGACACTACGGCCCGTGGGTCAACTCCGACCCCATGAAGATTCTAACCGAATCTCCGAAAATCAATATATATATATATTATATATTAAATGATACTATATTACTAGATATTATATAGTGTATAGAACTCGTGGCAAAAACGGAAAGGGGTGTCACGTGATTGGTACTGAAAACGAGTTCATATAGAGGAGATATTTTACCTCATTTCACTAACATTTATACTCCACCCAAAGCCTTTCTGTTGTAGTACACTGACACAAAACTCTATTTTAGTTCTTATCGCTTTTTTTTACATCAAATAATATTTTATTTACATAAATACGAGCATAGATAAGTATAACGAGCATAGATAAGTACGAGCATAGATAAGTATAACGAGATTTACATCGCTCCTTAAAAATTTCCCAATTCAAACGATTAGCCTAGTTTAAACTCTACTCCATAGCTATATATGAAAGCATTCATATAAATGATATTACTCAGTTAGTATTATTTATAAGAGGTGTTGATGAGAAATTTGAAATTACCGAGGAACTGTGGAATGCATGTATTTTTTAAAGGGAACTACAACAATGTATGATATGTTTCGTGAATTTTTTGAAAGGCTTTCAACTCTGAAAATACCTATCGCAAACATATGTAATATTACGACCAATGGAACATCCCAAATGACAGGAAGAAAATTTTAATTTCTTGCATTTAATAAGGCCACTGTTTTGGTTTAATGAAAAGTTTAACACTGTTTTCGGTATAGTTTTGATTAATAATCAGTGAAAATAGTGTTGTCTTTCTACATTACGTGATACATTAAGACTCCCTGTGTACATATGCAATGAATATGAAATCTGTGCTTGATGTAATCTTGAGACTTGTAAATACTATTCTATTTTATAGACTTACTCATAGGCAATTCCTAGATTTTCTTCCATCCATGCTGTCTGAATACGCTGATATGGCGTAGTACACAAAAGTAAACACCCTGTTTCATTCTCGAGGTTAAATTTAATACCATTAGTAAACGAAAGCAAACTTAAGACTAATAAAGATGGCCTAAGAAAACTGCATGAACGCAGAGTTCAAGATTACAATTCTACACTCTTTTACAAAAACATCGAAACACTAAAAAGGACTTTTGCGATCGTGACGAAATTTGGTATGCAAAAAGACCTTGATCGAAAATGCAAATGATCAAAGTTTCAAGGCAAATGAACAGGAATTGCGTTCATAGTGCGCATTTCTAGTGCTCAATTCGCAAAGCATAAAGTAACAGAGTATAAACTAGTAACAGAGGTGGAAAATTTGTCTTCTTTTGTTGCTTCTATTGTAATTCCGTAAAGAAGCAACTAAAGATGTCATTACGACGATATCGAAGACCTTAAAGACAACTAAACGACTTCGAACGTGGTCGCACTGTACAGTTGCGTGAACCTGGGTGGTCATACCGAGCACAGGCCGCCACCTGCAGGTGGCGTACAGGCACTGCTGTGCAAAGATGTTAGCAGCAATGGTTGCTACAAGGAAATTATCGACGAAACGAAGGCTCTGGAAAGCCAAGGAGCACAAATGCAAGGCAAGATAGGATGATTTTTCGCCAGCCGCGAACCGCCCCAACAGTATCACTGTCGACTATTCAGCGTACTAAAAACCACGTCTATACCTCTCGTGGTACCATCCACCAATGTCAAGGCGCTTGTTCTGAGGCTGGGTTACGCTCACAGAACAGAGGCCTTCATGACGTTTGCTTTTCATCCCACAACATCGGCGGAGTCGTCTGGAGTGGTGCTGCAGCCGATAATCATGGCTGCCATCAGACTGGCATCGTATAGTGTTCAGCGATGAATCCCGCTTCACTCTTGAAGCAGATGACCACCGTATTCATGTCTGGAAACGACGGGGCCAGCGATCCCAATCAGCATTTGTTTTACAAAGGCATACAGCCATAACACCTAGTGTGATGTTGTGAAGCTTAAGAAAAACACAGAGTAGCACACTTTTCCTTTTAATCTTTCTCATCGTGAATGTTAGGATATAGCGTACGTTTTTGGTGCTTTAATTGATAAATTGTTTCATAGCTCATTGAAGAACTGGTACCAGTGAAGAGGCGATTCTTTGTGTGCACATTCGTTTCGTATTGTAGAAGCAGCAAATAGATCTGAAATTAAGGAATTAAATAAACGAAAATTATTTTTTATGCTTGGAATTGCCTTTGTATTTGATAATAAGGTACTGACTAGACTGCTTATTTGTGTAAGAAACATTTTTCCTGTGTTGCCCTTCGTCTCCTTCTGTGTGCTAGGAAGTATACTGGAAGACTACATTTCTCTCTCGGGCACAGGGGTGGTAATCGTAGTTGCATCACTTTTTCTTTCTTTCTTGGGATGGTTCAGTTTTTTTTCTGAACGGTTTCTTTTCCAGATGGTGTTTTAATATATACCTCTACTAATGAAATACAACGTAATGCATGGTTGCGTTGAATGTCTATTTTGACTAATAACTAAGAAACAGAGAAGTATTTTGATAACAAAAGAAGGCGACAGATTTAAAAAACGACAGAGGAAAAATTTGTAGAGATTTACTGACAAGCATCGTTTCGTTTTAAGATAAAAAGAAAATAAAGGGAAAAGAAAAATAAGGGGTAAAAATTTAAAAGAAGACACAAGACAAGAATCTAACAGACTTAATTTTCATTTTCAATGAAGAAAAACTTATCTTGATGATTTCTTAGAAAAACAGAGATTCCTTCAGATAACAGAGTAAAGAGAGGAAAACTTACTTAGAGTTACTTAACGCCTGTGAAATATGGATAATTAAACAAGACAAGTAAAGAAATAAATAAAGGAAATGAATTGAAAAGTAAAGTAGGCATTTGACTAATTCCAACACTTGCAGTAAATTGTTTGAGGGGAATAAATAAAATTTATATCCGGCTTCTCGGTTTGGAATGATCCTAAGTTCTATATATCAAGAACGCTTGCGTTTTTTACCATGAAATCGTACATGAAATAGAGCTCGGGCAATTAGATACCTAACTCCGATGGTTCTGTGATGAGGATTCTTTCCGAAAATGAAACTTAATGAACCTAATTGAACCTAATATCGTGTGATATGTTATCGAATAAAAATAACTTAAATGCTTCAGGTTTATTAAATTGTTATATTAAATATTACTACGAATTTTATATTTTAAATAAAAATAATATATCCCATTAGAAGTATAAAACTTTTAAAAGCGAATATGTCAAATTTTTAAGCACATATTTAAAGGCCGTTATTACCATTATTATAATTATGTAACTATTCCTAAACATTATTTCAAAATGAAAATGATAACTGATGAAAATTATAATAACTTCTGAAAAAAAATTGCAAACGATTTCTTCATCAGGAATATTTTAAATGAATTATTCCTGATACATTTTTTTATCACATTTATACCTTTTTGTCACATATAAAACCATTTTTGAAAGGGTTTTATCGAACAAAAATTCAGCTGTTCTAGTAATATGCATGCATTTTATTCTAGTTTATTAAATTTTTCAAATATTATTTAACGTAAATTTTAGAGAGGCTTATTGAGTAATTTTATTATAGATATGAGTGTTATTGAAGTGTGTGAAATTTAATTTAATTGAGAATAATTATCTAGTGATGTTTTGAAATAATTCTGATTGCATAATGTACATATATATTATACTTGTTAAGTCACATCAAGATTATAGCATCTTACATTAGTCATTATTTTAGTCTTAGCTGTCATTTGAATTTATGAACACTACCTTTCCACATTTAAACAGCAAGTGAGCAATAGATAAATAGCTTTAAAAGAAAATTCCATTTCAAATTTCGGCTACGTACCAAAAAATCGCAAAATTCAGCTTGCACCTTCCTCTTTCTCTTTCTCTGTAGCTTCACCATTCTGCTTATTTTCACCATTTTGTGCATTTTCACCATTCTTGTTGAATACTTTTTGAGATTCACGTGCTATCCTGCATTTTTCTTCTAGAATCTAACAACGGAAAGAAAATAATAATTCGCGATTATGAACATCTTAGGAAGGCAAGATTTGGTAAATTTTGCATTTAATAAAACAAGGTTTAAATACTCTCTTACATCACAATAACTTTATTCTGCTATTCGAAAGTGAAACGACAACAATTTCCGAAATAAACTGAAATCAATAGTCAAAACAGTAGAATAAAATATGTCACTAAACAAAATTTAAAGTAATTAAATCTTTAAAAGGCGGTTTTATTTTCATAATTTAATTACTTCATAACCTATAATTAGGTGTTGTTCTTACTATTTTTTAATTAAAACCCAGCGGGTAAGTTTTACAAATTATTTCAAGAGCACAAATATGAGAATAAAAATAACTTAAATGCTATTCTGTTGCTTTTACATTTTAAATAGTACTTTTCAGTTTTACTAGTTTAGCTTATCAGTCTATTGGTCTCTATGATCAGACGTAATAAGCCCATTAAATTATTTTATTGTTTGAAGGAAGCCCCACTAAGTGTTTTAATTCCTCGTGCATTTTACAAACTTTTGCCTAAACATTAGTTGGAAACTAACTCATTAAAAATTGCTTATTACTTATGGTGTAAACTGCAGTAAATATTCACAGCTTTAAACATTAAATTAATAATTCCAGTCATTAATCTAATCATAAATACTCGTCTCTAAAAGTAATTGAAAATAAAATTATACAATATCATTTTTTTTATCTTGCGTTTCCAGAGGAGGGAGGTAATTTTGTTAAATGCTATTACACTCATAGTTATAATTGAAGGCACACTATATTTTTTTTCCAATGGCAGATTGTGAACAGTTAAAGTGTAACACAGTCCATACCGCTATACAAGGTCTGGTGGTCTTTTTATTATGGAGACACGTAATAAGTGGGTCGCCATCGCATCCTATGAAGTAACAGACAGTTACAACCAAGCCTTCTCCGAGATTCGAAGCCAGGCCCTTCGGTATCGCAGTCAGGCTTCCCTAACCACTGTATCGTCTGGGCGCCAGGCACACTATTTAAATCAAGAGGTTTCCACTGGAATTAGCATCTACACTCTGGGGTTGATAAAATTTTAAAGAAGGTCAATGATGTTCAAATACATTTTGAGATACGCACATGCCATTGATTACGAAATATACTCAGGCCATTTAACAGCATAATGGAGACACCAGCGATTGCAAAAAAATTATTCATATTTGCAAATCCGATAATTGTTTATTGATATAAAAATGCATTAGGTATAGTAAAGAAGAAATCGTATAAAATAAATATAAGAAACAATATGCAAAGGTTGTACAGACATTAGGTATTTTTTGAAAGCAGGAAAGAAGGAAAATGAGCAACGCCCTTTCCGGGAATCGGATCACGAACCTCTGCAATACGCTTTCAGGGTGCTGACCACTACACTACGAAGACATGCTAAGAAGGCGGGAGAAACACCTTATGTACTCCCCCTTTTAAAGGGCGACTGGGGTTTTTAGGGGACTCAGTCGCCAAATCCTGGGTGTGGAGAATCATCATTCACCACCCTTTTAGTTCACAGTAGAGACATTATTTAATTCACAGTAGAGACATTATTTAATTCACAGTAGAGACATTATTTAATTTCGAAGCAGGAAAGATAAAAAATGAGCAACGTCTGTGCCGGGAATCGAACCACGGATCTCTGAAATACGCGCCCAGCCTGCTGACCACTACACTTCAAAGGCATGCTAAGAAGGCGGGAGAAATACCTTATATGATTATTTAATATAGTTCTGAAATCAATAATACTTTTTTTTAAATGCACAGATTTTTTATGAAAAATGTGGAATATAAAACGTGAAACATAGGAAATAAAGCAAATATAACCAAAAAAAATGCGGAGACCATGAAACTTTCTCATAACGTATATTGTTATACAAAATTTAAAAGATTTCAATGTTTGCTTCCGAGACATTGAAAATTTGACTGTGCTATCACGGCGCATAGAACCGCTGAACTGGGGTATAGTTGATCTTGATATTACGATGCAAGAACAGTTGATTATATTAAAGAATGTACACTATGCAAAAAAATGGGACAGTTCTATATCTCCCGTTCTACTGCGCCGATTGATGAAATTCAACTTGCGTTTTTCAAGTCTCGAAAGCGCGAGTTGGGATATGTATTAGATTTATATACAGCATTGTTCTAATATAGGTATTTTGACACAAAATCGGACTTTTTCTGAAATGATATGCCAATTTTCTTCCAAATTGCAATTGTATGACTCATATTATGCCAAACTGTCAAGTTTGCATGAGTAGTTTTTAAAAAATTAGCTCTCAAAATTTTAGCTCCTCAATGTTAATTGAGTTTGGTATATATTCATTAATATCTCTTTTTTTATTAAACGTATTTGATTATTCCCTTCATATTTCGAAAATTAGGTTAATTCCAAATAAAATTCACCCATTTTTATTATTTATTTTTAAAATTTGTATTTTAAATAAATTTTTATAAATTTTTCGAAAAACATTTTGAATTATACTCTGTAAATTTTTGCCATAATCTTAGAGTAGGTGTATTTCTAAGCATACCTGAAAAAAATTACAGTTTTTTATTCAAAATTTCCGAAGATATACGTGAATTTATATATTGGTGAGTTTTGAAATTTGGCGTATTTGTTGAAAGCGATAATAACATCAAATATGGTTTATGTACTTTGTTAAAAGTATTCGAAAGTACGAACGATGTGACTTTTTCCCCCTCCTGCATAATGGCAGGGAAAGGAAAATAGGTCGCCATATATTAAGAAGTTCGCCAAGTCAATAATTCTTGGCGCAACCTGAAAAAAATTCGCCAAGATAAATTTTTGAATTTCTCCGTAAATTTCGCACCAAATTTGACAAAATTTAATATTTAGGCATAATTTGAGTCATAGAATCGAAATATGGAAAACATTTGTCATGTTATTTAAAAAAAACCTATTTTGTATCAAAATACCTATGTTAGAACAATGCTATATACAAATGTAATATATATACTAAGTTGCGCTTTCGAGATCTGAAAAATGCAGTTTGAATTTCGTCAATCGGCCCAGTAAAAAGGGAGAAATAGAAGTGTCCCCCCTCCTTTTTTTTTTTTTTTTTTTTTTTTTTTTTTTTGAGGGATATCGTATGGGACGATCTGAGTGTCTTCCACTTCCACTGAACAATTTTATGCCAAATGTTAAAAAAATTGCATCAGTTCATCAAGGTAAGCCATCGCATTAATTAAAATCGAACTTTTGTCTATTTAGAATCTGTAATTTTGTTCCTTAAATCTTGTTGATATATGTAAAATTAAAAGCAAGAATAATACATATATAATAAAACATAAGTCAAATAAACTATTTTTCTCAAAAATTTGTTCATATTATTGACCTAATTGTTATTTTTAGTTGTTTATGTGCAATCATTCTATTATGATTATGTTGTATGCGGTATATTCACCAGAAAAATATAAGAGAGTCAATGAAGAAAACCATTTTTTAAAAGAGTCAGTGCAAGAAAAAGCTTGTTGAATCCCTGATATAAACCGCACTGAAACTATAAAATATTGCCTGTGTTGAAATGCGATCTACCGTATTTTAAATGTCATGCAAATTTGAATTTGTAGTTGTAAAATTAACCAGCGATCCAAGTCGTATATTAAATTGAAATGAAATGTCATTTTAGATCAGCAAAAGCAAAACTTGTTCAATGATGATTTTGTTGGTCAAATCCAAGAGATGTTAATCAAAATGTTAAATCAATTAATAATAAGCAACCAGAATCGGTACAGCATAAGCAAATTTGCGGGATTTTAATCTAGAAGTTAAACGGAACTTTCTTCCTCAACTTTTCAATACTACGGAAGATAAAGAAGATTCTCTTCAACCTTTCCAGCTACATCCCTACGGATGAGTTTAGATTACTTCGATTCATGTTATTATTAGTCTCTTTAGCATTTCTTTCATTTGAATATTCCTCTTTTATTACGCTAATCTAGTGAACAGATGTCTTTGTTTAGCAAAATGGAATGACTCTTCTTTAATAAAATTAATACTAAACTAAGGCCGAATTTTTAAGATTCTTACAGAGCCTTCTACAATTTCCAAGGCTTTTGATTGCAGACATTATGTTAACTAATACATTCACGCCATGGAGACGAGTGATACTGATTAGATAAGTATAAATAATTTATTTATTACTTCCCATTTTTACAGGTTAAGAAATATATTTTCTTCTAGCAAATAATTTTAGCTAAATTTTTTTCATGTGATGTTTAAATTATATTTAATAATCTGAATTCCTATCTTCTTAAGATATAATTTCTGGAAACTGCAAATTACAAGAAAACTCAATACAAAATTAATTTTCGACGGAATACTGCTATGTCATATAGAATTCAGTTTCTGTGTTACCTTAATACAGAACAAATGTGAATAATGAAAATCAAAGCACAAATTAAAATTTTCCAGACCTTCAAATATATTTTACTAAATAATTTAATTACAAAGATTTGAACTTCGAAATTTTAAAGAGAGTATCAGCTACTCCTTTTTTCACCAGAAGTATTCTTACTTGAAAGCAGATTCAGACAATTTTTTGAAGTGTCAGTTTTTAATTTTAGATAAGAGTTTCTTAAATATGTGATTTTTTCAGTACCTAAATAAATTGGATTACTATCTACAGTTCGGTAAATGATACAGTGAAAGGATTAATCGCCTAAGGAACAAATCAAAATTCTAAAAATTTCGCTTATTAAAAGACATTTAATTATTCATATAACCCGAGATTTAATTTTAAATTTACTTTGGGACCTTTTTTTTTCCGATTCAAATAGTAATATGATATTTAAACTACTACATCAAGCACATAGTTTTCTATTTTTGCTGCGTAGTAAAAGCAAACATATATCGGCCCTTTATATTTATTTAATTTCATCCAAGATTACGAACAGAATTATATGGCAGGATGAAATAATATAAAATAATCATCTGAAATCTTTCAACAATTATGGGAGACTTGTAAGAACTTAAACTCCGTTCCTAACATTTTTCTCTTTTTGCAAAACAAAACGTAAATGCTATTATTATACTTTAATTAAAATGACAGATAAATTTCTTAATTTTTCATTCTTATCTCTACATTCCTAAATAAATTAACCATCGAGCTAAATAACGATAAATATATTTTCATACCATCAGCCTTCTTTCTTCTGCTTTCTTCTGTTTTTCTTTAATCTCCTCAGCTGTGAGGTTACTTTGCTCTTCTAATCTCTGCAAAAAAATATGTTTTACAGTTTAAAACATACATGTATGATAATATCAACAAATAGTAGATAATCTAATATTTTGCTTTTCTAATACGGCTAAAACAAAAACAGAATTCATAGAAACAAAATATAATAATATTTTATCCTTTTCTAATCTCCGCCAAAGGGAAAGTACAAATTTTAAGCAATACGAATTAATTAATATTAATCTAATCTTCACTCCTCTAAGCTTCGAAACACTGAAAATTCAGTTAAAGTAGAATAGTGTTATTTTGTTCTTCATTCTCTTATTTTTGTCTCCGTAAAATGAATATTTAGATAGAAAGACGTTTCCCGTAAACGAAATACACAGATAAATAAAAATGAAACTACTGTTACGAAATGCCCAGCCCTGGTAAGATAGCTTCCCCGAGGGTTGTCAGAAAAAGCCAAGGGAAGGCAGGGTTGCCAGATTTGGCGTTTTTACGCCCATTTGGTCACATTTGGCGACAAAACAGACGATATGCTATAGACGGATGGAGAACATTCTGGAACGAATTCTTACCGGTTTGGCCTAGAATGTTCTCGAAGGCAGTACAAAAGCTATATAAACCCTGCTTGCGCGCGGAGTAGCAGTCTATTGTCGAGTTGGTCGTCGAGTGTATCGCGAGTTAGTGCATCGCAAGAGTGTCTCCTCAGTGTCTCGTAGCACATCAAGATTGAGCGTCGTTGAGGCTATCAAGTTTTATCTTGAGTGTGTTGAGCTCCGAAAAGGACAGAACCGAGTCGGGAGCCGTACTCTAGTGCTTTTCTGTGAAGCTGTCTTCACCGTCATAACCTGAAGGCTGTGTTGCTTATTGTTTCAGCGTGTTTGTCTTAGCGTGTTTCGAGCTGTTCTGAGTAATACTGGCTGATAAATTGTGTTTTGTTTCTTCATCAGTTGTTGTCGTCACCAATCACTCCAAACCCACGAAAGCGTAGAAACGCAACAATACATTAATACTGTTTCGTTTTTAGTTTATTCTCAATCTTTACAGATGGAAATGCACAGTTTACAAAAATAAATGTGGAATAAAGTAATTCCATTTCCTTTCCCTTTAACTTTTTCAAATATGTAGAATATATTGTTGATGGAAACATTATTATTATTATTATTATTATTATTATTATTATTTCATAATACTCACGGTATTCCACGAACATTTTTCTCATTACAAGATGAGTTCTTAGTATCGAACAAAAATTTATATAAGAATTATCCAGTTAAAGTAAAGTCTGTTTTGAGAAACTTCAATTTTAAAGGTCTAAAAAAAGAACTTTTATGAAAATTAAAATTTAGATTTAAATTAAATTAAATTTGAATAAAGCACATCACGTTTATTCATTGCTTTAAAAATTCTGTGGTTTAGTTTGACATCATTAACGTTTTAATGTAAAAACATAAGTTTTAATAGCAGTGATACTTGAAATTAAAATGGAAATCGAAAGCCGGATAAATAAAAATTACCTGTAACAATTGCGGTGGTGGTTTTTTCACTTTGCTGTTATCTTCCGATTCTTCTATGGGTATTTCGAAGGCTACTGGCTTGGGTACTGAAAAGTAAAATGTTTTATAAATAATTTTACCTTACTAAATTATGTGTTAATAAAAAGCGCAAATTGAATACTCCCTTCTACAGTAATCTATATCAAACTAAATTAATTATACAGGTAATTTTGACACTTTAAATTAAACACTTTTTCTTAAATGTTCTTGGTTTATCGCTCATGTTTAGAGAAGCTCGTATGTATACTTGCATTAAACTTAGCAAGAAAATAATTTTTATAAAAATATTAACTTCGGCCACTTTGTTAATATTCGGCTCCATTTTTGTTAACAACATCTTGAGACAGAGATTAGTTCTATGCACTCGATCTCTTTTTTTAGTTAGTAGATTTATAAGCAGAAAAAGTTGAAAGTCTTTCAGACGAAACAGCTGCTTATTTTGTGGTTTCCTGTCCTAAACCCGCATTTCACTAAAATTACGAAAGGAATGTTGTGAAAAACTTCTGTACAATATTCCATAAACAAGGATAATGTTCAAGTAACTGTTTCTGCAGCCAAATTTCAGATCAGAAAAAGGTATTGGTATAACAGATCTAAACTTAAATTTTAGCTCTTCATGTACTCTTAATTCAATAAATTTTTCTAAGTTTAAGGTTCCCTTTTCTAAGTTTAAGGAAAGAAGAGCCCTTCCCAGAAGTTCCCTTCACAGAAAAATGGATCTAAAGCTAGTCGGCTACATCACAGTTTTCTAAATATCCTGAAATCATTTCATGAAGTTTATTTCCAGAGCTTCCAATTGTTAGCAATATTTAAATACATTGGACGGTTTAGTCTTCTTTGGTAACACAAATTTAGACTCAGACTCTAAAACATAATCTATGAATTATCACCATATCTTATAAGTACCGCAGTGATATGGAAAAGAGTGTAAAGAACCCTCTTATTAATTTAGATATAGTTTAACGATCAGCACCAATTCGTTCTTACAAAAGCCATTAATTATGGCTTAAATTAAAGATAATGAATGAACTAAAACTAATGATACTAAAATAATGCTTTCACAATTTCAATAATGCCCACGCCGGCTTTGACCTAAGTTGGCATATGCAAGCCTAATGGCAAGAATATAGCAGAATACTAAGAATATATAAAATCTGAATATCACGCGAGCAAGAAATTTATATTGCGGCAGGGAAATAGAAACGAAATTCACAGGAAAGAATATTAACATAAAAAAAGTGGTTAAAGAGCTTAAACGATAACAACATTTCGTCATTTTTGTCTGAAGTTGACAAATTTGAAATGTTCCTAAATTTTCTTCATCCTAAGTTTCTTCGACGTATTTCAAGCTTTGCCATAAAAAAAAGAAATTGCATTTTTAGAATTTATGGATTGAGAACATCATTTGAAGCTTAAGTTTTTAATTCTGTGAGATAAGCTATATTTTTTTTAATTTACCAAGTACTCTTAAAGCAAACTTTTTATCTTCTATAAACTCCACCAGTGAGTTGAAAAGTTTGAAAAAACGATTAAACAGGCTGTCTTTTTTAAACCTAATGAACTTTTGCATACAGTAAAAGGCGATTAAGATCGTCAGTTAAGATCAGTATAGATTTATCCAAACAACCCTTCATTCAATGGATTACCATTCAATAAAAATGGTCCAATCTTGGAATGCCTGTTCGGGCCGGAAAGGACCGAAGAAACGCAGCCTAGGCATGCTGCAACGTTACGATGAAGGAGCGCCTTTTGAGCGCAACGCCTTTGACATCCTGCTGATGGCAACAAATACTTCCTCGCTTTCACTGATTATTTCCCATAGTGGCCTTAAACCTATGCTGTCACTGATCAAGATGCTGTTACGGGTGCAGAGGTAATGATACAGCATTGAATTTCCTGGCCTGGAGTGGAGAGGTTGGAGTGCCTCTTTAATTACGTTTCGATCAAGGAAGGAATTTTATATCGACTGTAAGGAAAGAACTCTGCAAATTACTTGGCTTAGGAAAAACCCAAACGTCACCTTTACATCCACAGTCAGACAACATGATAGAAAGTTTTTGTCTAACCATCGTTAATAATCTCTCGCTTATAGTCTTGAGAATCCAACATTACTGAGACTAGAAGTTACCTTTGTTTTATACTAGCCTACTGTAGTGCTGTACACGAGACTACCGGCTATTCCCCATCCCAGCAGTTCTTTGGTTGTGACTTGTGATGTGTTGTTTGGTCACCTTCCTCGTGCGTCCTCCTTACCTGAGGAATACATTTAACATCTCCAGGCAGGGTTTGAAGTGATGCATAATTTCACACGATACCGAGTCAGCTTGGCAAAGGAGAAGATGAAAACCCGATGCGACACGATAGCTACAGGATATTCATTCAACGAAGGTGACATGGTGGGAGTATGGAATCCGATTCGACCGAAAGAGCGTTTTCCTAAACAACATTACTCTTACTTACACCGTCCTAACCATTCTGAACGACAGCGTAGTTCGGATCCACCATTCGTCAAATTCTAAGCCCTAAAGTCTTACATTACGACAGGCTTGTCCTTTACTATGGCCGTAGTACAGAGTACGCATGCTGTATATAATGTAAACAGTGTACTAGTACGGAGTCCGCATAGTGTATATAATGTAAATACTGTACTAAGACCCCGGTCTTACACATTTATGAATTTTTACATTATTTTTTGATTTAGTATTTGATTTGTTGTATATTACTTACTGAAGTTATTATTTTAGTATTGCGTTGATTTTCCTTAATTATAAGTATGGTTCGTGACCAAGAATTGTACTGCTCTGGACGTGTAGTCCCTGGGAAGGCGGCATTGTTACGAATGTAATATGAAAAGTCTGAAGAGAATGGAAACTCTGCCGGTAAAATAACGCTACAGGGACAAGTCTATTTAAGATGGAATTTAATGGCTGTTTCGCTAAATTGGCGAGGTTTCGCCAAGCTTGTGATGCTTTTGGCGACTAATTCTTATAGCCAAATTTAAAAAAAAATCGCAAAACGTCGCCAAACTTGTCGACCATTTGCCGACATTTGGTCCAGTCCCTGTATAGCTGTAACTGAATGACTGTAATTGATCCCTAGCCGTAACCATATCTGATCCTTATATGTAATTTTAACCATATATGTCTTCTAGTAATTTTGGAAAAATGGAAGGTGCTAGAGATTTCTCGGCGACCAGGAGAAAACTTGTAGAGACATTAGGTTATTTCGAAGCAAGAAAGATGAAAAATATGCAACGCCTTCGCCGGGAACCGAACCGCGGACCTCTCAATTACGCGCTGAGCGTGCAGACCACTACACTATGAAGGCTCGATAAGAGGGCGGGAGAAATACCTTATATACTCCCCCTTTAAAGGGCGACTGGGGTTTTTTAGGAGACCCAGTCGCCAAATCCTGGGTGAGGAGAATCATCATCCAACACCCTTTTAGTTCAGAAGCCACTGTATAGACATTAGGTATTTTTTGGAAGCAGGCAAGATGAAGAATATGCAACGCCTTCGCCGGGAATCGAACTACGGGCCTCTGGATACGCGCCCAGCGTGCAGATCATCACACCACGAAGACACGCAAAGAAGGCAGTAGAAATACTCGAAGAGAACAACAGTTTTCACTTTATCAGTTCAGAGTAGACTTCGGACTATTGAGAGATCTCCGAGCAAGGTTCGCTCTTTAGATGCACTTTGCACTGCGATCTGTTTAACTTTCTTAGCATAGTTGGAAGTGGTAACTACTGCTTGTGCTCTGTTACACTGAGAAGATTTTTAGAAGTACTTTTGTGGAAAGTTTTCCAAAACGGTTAAGTGTTTCCTTTGAGAAAACAAATTCTATCCAGCTACCATAGGTTCCGTGTGCATTCACTCCATTACGATACCTTTAATTTTGTGTTAGTTTCGCTTTTGTGACAAATCACTTTCAGGATACTCCCACCAAATGTTATCGCTATTTATTATTTTTAAGAAAATAATATAACAAATAAAAAAAAATCTGAAAGGTTTCAGATTTTAAATTACGTCCCAAAGGGGCGTTATTTAACGTTTTGTGTGTTACCATTATTTATTAAATATCATGTTCTACGTACTCAAATCATAAAATTCAGATCTAAAGCAATATCGCAAGATAATTTTAAAATGAGCATTTCTTTAGAATTTGCGATACACAGTCGCTGGAGATAAATTCCTCCCCCCGGTACAATGTTGCCATTTCTCGCTTTCAAATTGTTTAGCTTGTTAATCAAAAATTCGTTGAAGTGTTACAAAATATGAAATTGATAATAAAACCAAATTAGGGTTTCCCCATGGCCATATTCTATGGAAGATTACGTTATTCAAATTTTGATGGCTCTAGGTACCGTTGTTTTATCTCAGTGCGAGAAACATACATACATTCATGCAGATTCTTCATTATTTAATTTCTTTAAATATAATACAGGGTGATAATATTTGATGGCAACAATTTGAAAAGTGAAACAACGCTTATCGTGAATCGACGCAAAATGCCAAAACGAAATTAATAATCCTTCTCGGCAAATTGCACCTTTGGACTAATAAATATAATATGTGTAAAAAGAAACGTATAGCAGCAACTTAACACTCTATCGGTAATTCTAAAGATAAGTTGCTTTTAAAAATTTCGTGATTAAGTCATTGGAAACACTATAGGATCAGAGGATATACTACGATCGATGCGATATTTTCAAATCAGAGTATAAAAAAGGATGTGTAAATAAGCACATGTAGTATGGATGCTGATTGTGTGGGAGAATATAAATAATAAAAAATAAACAGTGTTTATTATTGTTACTAAGCCATAAAGTTAATACACAAATTAGATTTTATTTCCGATTCATCAACCGGCAACAATAGGTTATTTAAAGTTCGTTACTATTCTGCTAATTCCATAATTGATTCGAATTTAACGACTATGAGAATTCCAGTTGATATTTTTGGCAACGGATCTGGCTGGCTATTCCATTCACAGCTTGTTTAATTTTTATGAAAATGTTTATAGTTTAAACACTTTTGTCTCCCTT